GGAGAGCAGGATGCAGAGGCCTCTGGCTAGGCCATAGGAGGTGCTGCCAGGCTCCCTGGGGTGGAGGAACCCTGCCCCTGTGCGTGCGAGCATCACCCTCCCGTGACACGTGATGATCTCTCATGGTAACTGATGGCCTCAAGGCACCCACCAAACCTATATGAAGCAACCAGTACCATGCAGAGGGCGGAGCCTGATGGAGTGACTTGACGGAGTTTAATGGGATGACAAGGCTTGGCCTAGAGTGTTGCCTTCCGCTTGCGTGGCCCAGCATGCGACAGCACATTCCCTGCCGCCAGCTGGAATACCACCATGACTCACTTGGGCTCACCATGGCATCTCCAAACAAGACATTGGAATTTGTAAACGGTCACCACTCTAGGGGGTAAACTCATGCCTTTTCACCTAGCCTCGAGGACAGGGATGTTTTAGAGCCGTGCTTTCCAAACAGTAATGTGCACACAAATCCCCTGGGGGACCTACTTAATGCGAATTCTGATCCTGAAGGTCAGAGGTTGGGAACGGGGTGGGGTGGGCACTGAGATGCCTCATTTCTAAACAAGTTCCAGGGGATGTCAATGCTGCTGATCTGTGGACCACACTCTGAATAGCAAGACCTGAAAACATTCACCAAATGCAGTGAAATTAAACCTTAATTTCTCCATGAGGGAGGATGATCAGCTCTACCACCTGGTGCTCACTCTGCAAGCATTTGTCAAGCCTAGGAACTGAGATAATGGTAACACCACTGGCAGAAATAAAGTCAGAGACAGGAACTGTTTTAGGAGAAAATAATAATAATTACCTTTGCTTGAATGCCTGTCCTGTTCTATGATCTTGTTTAATCCTTATATTTGGTGAGCAAATTTTATTAATCTTCATTAATTTCATAGTGAAATTAAACTCAAAAAGGTGAGGCGATTTTCCCTGAGGTGCTATTGCTGGCTAGAAATTGAATCTACTCTTTTAAACTCCAAAATCTATCTGATCCCACTGTGATGCAGTTCCTTGTTTTGGAGAGTGGAGATTTAGGGTTAGGTAGATTTAGCATGGTGGTTCTCAACCTTGCCAGCACATTAGAATCGCCAAGAAAACTTTTAAAATCCCCACACCCCAAACTAATTACAATAGACTCTCTAGGGGAGGGATGCTGTATCCACATTTTTAAAAGCTCTCCAAGTAATTCCCATGTACAGATAAGCCTGAGAATCATGGAGTTAGCCCAACTCTTCTTCTAAGAAGTGAGCAATTGAGAAGCTAATAAATGAAATGGCAACCTTGTCAGAATGAGTATCTTTCCATTCCTTCTCCAGGACTCTTCCCAATAAATCAGCTAACCATAATATGCTGTAGTGGGATGAAGCAGAATGGGAAAGAAAGTAGGACGCAGGAAACTGCCAAGGGAAAATACATAAGGAAGAGCTGAGAATTCAAACCAACACTGGAGGCAACACACATTTAGGAGTTGAGGAGAAGATTTAGAAAGATAGAGAATTTCACCAAACCAAAATTCTTAAAATCAAGAGCAGCATGTTCTTCATTTAGAATCCTCCTAAATGAAGGAGGATTAGCATCTCTCAGACAATGGACGTGCTTGGCATCTCTCAGACAATGGATGGGTGGATGAATGGATGGAACAAGAAAATGGATGGGTCTAATGGACAAGAAAGTTCAGAAGCCAAGTTGAGAAGGAAATGGGTGTCACATTGGGATTGAGGAAAAAGATAACAGGAGAGAGAGCTTTGCCCAGCGCGAATCTACTGAAGGAAGGAGTACAAAAGTTAATGGCCTCCATGAGGAAGCCATATTGTAGGGTTTTCTTCTTAGGATTAGGATGATTTTTCAATAAAAGGATGGAATACACCAAGTAGAGAAATAAATGGAACAATCTGTTTGAGGCAAAAAAAAAAAAAAATGCTTGAGGCTACTCTAGGGACCATAATGAATGCATCATCTCTTGCCATAATCAAGAGGACAGGCCAGAGCCCCCACCATCTCCTCAAAGAGAAATCTTAGATTAAAAACAGAACATAGCTCTGGATACTCCACCAACCACCCAGGATGCCTCTGGGTAACTTTTCTTCATCCTTCAAGGCTGTCATGGATGTTCATTTAAAGTGAATTTCTCCTTTTTAAACATTGAGGATAAAAAGCTGTTGAGGGTCAAGTGTGGCCCTCACCCATAATCCCAGCATTTTGGGAGGCTAAGGTGGGAGGATTGCTTGAGGCCAGGAGTTCAAGATCAGCCTAGGCAATGTAGCAAGATCCCTTGACTGCAAAAAAATAAAAATAAAAAAAGCTATTGAGCAATTGGTCGTGAAACTTACATGGCAGTCAAGTCTCTCAGAGATTCTGTAGACCCCAGGTTTTGCAAAAATGTGAGTCAGAAGGAGCCAAAATGCTAAGTGATGTTGGGTATTAAAAGTCCACACAGGGATATTGTTCATCATATCACGATGTGTGTTTAAATTTCTGCCTGGGTTTTTCCATCTCACTCAACAATGTTTGATTCATTGTCCATGTCCACGTGGGTTTAATTATGAAATCACAGACCCTTGCCTTCAAAGATGACATCTCCTGAACCGTGCCTTAGGCACTCTTCTGTATGGAAGAAGGACTTCTCCTCACCCATCCATGCTACCCTGGCCCACTTTCAGACCTCCACTGACACTTTTGGGTTAGCTGGCCAGTCTGCCAGTGTGTTATCCTTCTGGGGGCTAGAGAGCCAAGCAACCTACTGAGGAATAAGCTCTTTGACTCCACTCACATTAGCATATCCCAGCCACCACAGGCCACAGGACAAAACTAAATGTTAGCCCCCAACTTAAATATGTCCCTTGGTCCAGGTGTTGGGAGAAAATAATCAGCAACCTCGGCTGAGTAAGAAAAAGACTGCAGGTAGGGAAAATGGATACAATGATTGGAAACCCGTCTCCCCCGTCTATGCCCTGTTTCTTTCCACAGTTCTATTTCTCCAGGACCCAGAATTGAAACCTCAGTTGGGAGAAGGCTCCACTGGTCCCAAGAAGCTGAATTAAAACCTAGCTTCTTCCAGTAGGAGAAACAAAGTCAATGAGAACACTTCTCCATCTAATAGTTCTGACAGTGTTGAGAGTCACCATCTTTTATTTAAAAGCAGAGGTTTTTGATTAATTAGGAACCCTTCTTTTAGTTCTATCACCATTTATTCATCTGAATTTTGAATGAGTAATGGAAAATTTTGGTTTTTTCCAATGCTATACAGAAAGGGTAACGGTGCTGTAATACTTAGCTGATTTTTTTTAAGTACTACTAAGAGATGTCACATCCAAAATAAATAAATGAAGCTTTCTCTACTGGGTTTTAATCCTGCTTTTAAAGAAAAGTTGGGGTCAGGTTTATTCTTTAACAAGAGGATGCCATGTTAGAGGCATAGGGGATTCTCCTCCATGTCTGCAGTACCCTGTACTACAGCAAACTGTATTTCTTGGGCCAATGTTGTTATAGTAAGAGTTGCTAAGGCTGTGGTCAGTTAAATCATAATACTTCAGTTTAGCAACTCAAGAGTTGAGGATGCAATGTGGTCCAGGTTCAAGTTGACTGATGGGACAGATCATTGAATAGTTTGTCCAGTTTGCCTTTAAGTTTCTTCTGCCTTTGGCCCCCACCCCAGCCTTGGTGATACCAAGAGAAAGGAAGGAAGAGGCAGGGGAATGGGAGGAGGGGGCAGGGCCAAGGGAGTTTGTATCACTCTCCAGCTCTTGGCCACCAATTCATATAAGACACAGGAACAATAACAGTGAGGATTCCTAATAACTACAAAAGGTCCTTAAATCAGGCTAAGCAGACAAAACTGTATAGCCAACAGACACTCAAGTCTCCAATTGAGACAAATGATGAGGAAAGGGCCTGAGCCAGCTGCCACCTCCACAGCACCAGAGAGCAGCTGCACTTTAACATGCCTGCCCCATCCCAGCCAGGCCCCTGGTGAGTAACTCAGATCCTGAGTTTAATGTTACACATAATGTGCACTTCAAGAGTATGTAATTGGGCAGCACCCACACTCAGGAATTCTACAAGACATTCTCATGCTTCTCTGTCCCCTCGCTAAGCCCCACCCCCCGCCCTACAAAGAGAATAGCAAGGACTCCAAGATTGGAACAGAACATTCCTTTGCAGTGTGTTCTGAGCCCACTGATGTTTTGGTTTGGTAAACTTGCAGACAAAATGGCAGCAGATAGATCTGGGTGTCCAGCAAACCCCATTCGCAATGGTGATGCCAGACCGTCCCACCTCTTCTTCCTGGCCCAATTATCAAATCGAGCTCAACTTCCTGAGCTTGGGGCCAGCACCCCCGTATCTTTCACAGTCAGAGAACAATCCAATGTGTGTGGTTTACCCTCAAAAGAGGGACTAGGAACTACAGCCATGCCAGTCCCCATCCCTCATTTTTCCCAACACTTTACTCTCCTTTTCATCTGAGCCTAAAGAGATTGAAATGATTCTCTTCCTACTTATTTCCCTATTGTCCTCGTTGAGAAATGATTTTTTTTAATCTTGAAGAAACAAAAGGCACAAGCCTGGGAGGGAGAATGATACCCCGGGTGGTCTAGTGGGTAGGATTTGGTGCTCTGACCGCCATAACCCTGTTCAGTTCCCGATCAGGAAAGCCTTTCTTCTTACCAGGTGTGGTGGCTCACGCCTATAATCCCAGCATTTTGGGAGGCTGAGGTGGGTGGATCACTTGAGGTCAGGAGTTCAAGACCAGCCTGGCCAACATGGTGAAATCCCATCTCTACTAAAAATGTAAAATTAGCCAGGCATGCTGGTGCAGGCCTGTAATCTCAGCTACTCAGAAGGCTGAGGCAGGAGAATCACTTGAACCTGGGAGGTGGAGGTTGCAGTGAGCCTAGATTGCACCACTGCACTCCAGCCTGGGCAACAGAGCATGACTCTGTCTAAAAAAAGAAATAAATAAATAAATAAGAAACAAAAGCTAGTTTCTCAGAGTTCAAAAAAATAAAAAATGAAAATGTTTAAAAGCTCAGGGTATTTCTGGTATTGCTAGACAATATGGTTCCTTGCACAAAGACATACTAGCACCCCTTTTCTCAAGACATTTTAGTGCCATCTGCAAGAACTTCATTGCAATAAGCACACAGATGTCTAGGACATTAATAGTGACCCCGTAGATGTGGTGCATTTTTGTAGTGCACAACCTACACACCCTTACACATTGGCCCAGGACACCAGAGATTACATTACATTACAAGTCTTACACTGGTCTGATTGTAATTTAAAACCTGGAAAGGTGACAGGTGGGCATCTGACGAAAGCTGTAGGTAAGGATGGAGATTACCTGGACACTCTTCTTTGTGCCAGAGGAATAACATCTCTCGATGTTCGCAGCTATTGATCCCCTTTTACTCCTAAAAGGGATGGAATAATTGCAGGATTGCATTTAAGAGCTAAAAACTTAGGGACCTCAGTGCCTCCTGCCATCATCCACCATTGTGTTCCCCCAGCAAGGGCGGGCAGAGGAGGTTTGAGTGACACGTTTGCACTCTGCTCCAGCTTGGCCCTTGGCTTCACTCTAGGGAATGCCTATCACAAAGGGTCGCCTCCAAGTGTGATACTGGGAGTTTTGGCTCTCATCTGGCACCTTTTTGTCTGACTGTTTACCAAACCGAAGAAGTCAGTAGGCTCAGAACACACTACAAAGGAACATTCTGTTCCATACTTGTAGTCCTTGCTGCTCTCTTCATGGGGGGTGAGGAAACAGGGAAGCATGAGAATATCTTGTAGAATTTCTCAGTGTGGGCACTACCCAATTATATACTCTTGAGGTGTCAATTATTTGTAACATTAAATTGCCTATGCATAGATCAATATCAAGTAGCAATCAAATGAAACAGTGTTATAATAATTTGATTAAAACAACACAAATTTAGAAATACCTACAAATGCAAGGTATAGAAAAAATATTAAAATTGTGTTTTATCCATAGTTGCTCTCTCCCTTCTCCATTTTATCACCTAGTCCTTATGTCCTCTTACATATATCTGATGAACTGTCTCAACATCTTTCTGGAAAGAGGGAGGTCCATTATGAATAAAGAGAGCTATTGGATCCTGACTTCACCATCCAGTACCTTCCAGCCCAAATGGGACTGTGCATCACAAGACGTATTTTAAAAATAAAAGGCACTACCAGAAACTTTTCAGGGCTGGGGGGCATGATTTCATGCTCAGTGAGGAAAAGAGATGTAAATTGCTTTAAGTGCACAGAAGCCCACTGGGAAATCCAAACTGATTTGAGCAGAGCATGAGGAGGGGGAGGAGAGAGAAAACATCCTAGGGGCAGAAACTCCAAGGAGAAAGTGGAAGAGAAGAGCAGCTTTTTGTATGTTGATTTGTGATCGTTCTATGCAGAGTGCTGGAAGGTGCATTCACTTGGAACAAGAACAGAGAGGGGCACCCAGAGAGGAGATGCATGGGAAAGACCAAGGAAAGACAATGTTAGGGCATAAATACTCAGCAAATGACTCTCTGGAAATAATAAAGGAGCTGCTGTAGAAATAACAGAGAAAAGCTCATTGTATTGTGCAATTAGGCTGCTTAAAAGCACCGAGGACACATGTATGCACACAATATTGAGCGCCCAGTTGTCTACAGCAACAGGGCGGCAGCAGACCCTGGCATGTCAGGATCCTGCAGTATGAGAACTTGGCAAGCCCTGCATCAGAAACCTACCTAGTTTACAGTTCTTGAATGAAGCAAATGGTTTCCTCTGTACACGTAACTGCACCCCTTCTGATGTCAAAGCCAAGGAGAAGCTTGTCCCCTTATTGAAGCCAGGAGGAAGGTCCCATTTGGAAATTCCCAAGGAACACCAATGCTGATTAAGAGGGGTAGGCATCAGAATGGTGGCACCTCTACATGTTCAGCATGGTGCTTTAAAGACGTCATCCCTCATCACGACTTTATAAAGGAAGTAAAGTTATCCTACTTTACACTGAGGAATCTGAGGCTCAGAGACAGTGAGTAACAAGCCTAAGGTCATACAGCTTGTCAGAGAAAAGCCAGTATTCAAACTCAGGTCTATCCGACTTGAAATTCCATGTGCTTTGCACTGCCTTGTCCATGCAATATGGCAAGGCTGTGTTTTGTGACCCCCACTTAAGGTGTGGCTTTACAGGGACCAGGAGAAAGGCCAGGGAGGGAGGGTGGGTAAAGAAGGAGGTGGTTTTTCCAAGAAGGCCTGAGACTCACTACACACCCTCAGCGCTGACCAGTGCCACTGAGGCAGAAGGTTGCATGGGTGTCGTGTGGAAGCAGCTTCAGGATGAGGTCCATAAATATGCATCATGGCTGAGTTGAGTGAATGAATGAATGAATAAATGAAAAGCAAACATATGGGCAGAAGTTGGAAATACTGGACAGCACTAGGGTGGTTAAAAGTACAAAGGCTGAGTCAGACTTTGTTAAGTTATTTAAACTCTGAGCCTCAGTTTGCTCATCTACAAAATGGGGACAATAGTATAACATAGGATTTTTGCAAATGCTCAACCATTTGTGGCAATTCTTATCATTCTCACTACGCTGATTATTTCTATCAGGGACAGTGGCCCATTTGCTTAAGGAAGTCGTGGAGACACTCGTATGATTCCTTTCATTCCCAAAGCAGGCCACTCACACTGTCTCCTGGTGATTCATTTTTCTACTTTAGGGAAACCCTAGTAGCTTATTTGCTCCTTTTTTTACCAGGGAAAAAATGTTGGAAGGAGAACTGCCTGAACCTCAAAACTCTTATTATAAACCTGGACCTATGGGTTTCCCCTCAGGCCCCAGTGCTCCAGAGGCACTTGGAGGAAGGATGTCCCAAGCAGACAAGGAACTTGTGGTCTGGCATGTGTCCAGTGGGTGGAGCCAGAGAGCTCCTAGCCACAGGCCACCTTGCTGAAGGCTGATAAGTACTATCTGCACATCCAAGCAGACGAGAGACCCAGACGAAAGAAGACCTATGATATCTGCATGGCTGGCTGTGGGATTACATTTTTTTTTAAATTCTGTGCTCATAAAAGTACATTTCAGTTAGATTTTTACCATAATAGAACAAGCCACAAAATTGAAATTTAAAAAGGAGGAGGAAGAAGGAGATATTTTAATTCAGTTTTAGATCCCCCTGCTATGGAATGTTTGCTTCCTGACTTTTAAGAGGCAGCAGAGTATGTCCAAGCATTCTCAACTGAAAAGAGGGACATTCCAGGGAAACACTGATATTTTTGTTTTCTCCTCACTGGAGAAAAGGGTGCCTGGCTTACAGAAAACAATTTGCATGTACTTTATCTTCCCCACCCTCCCAACAGACCCTGAGGCTCTTACTGGAGTCTTATATCTGTACAGAAGTTGTGTCAAGTAAGTCTAAGAAAATTTTACCCCAGGAGCAGTCACTTAGCTTCCAAGTCCACACGGCAGCAAACCTGCCCCATGGTTTTTACTTTAACACTGTTGTTCCTTTTTTCAGTTGTAAATCTTTCCAAAAACATAAGTAGGGGGCCAGAGGAAACAGGAGAAGAAAAAGATGCATTTTGGTAGGATTCTTGCTGGTCAAAGATTTTGGAATGCCATGGAAACAATGGCAAAGCAGCTGGCACCATGTCAAGAACAGAGAGAGAGAGAGAGAGAGACACCAGATACTGAAGCCAGGGGACCAGTTCCTTGGTGTTGCTTTGGCATTGGTGCCTGCAGTGGGAGGAGAAAGCTGAGCCCACAAACACACAGAGCAGAGCAGGGCTCTGGGTATATAACTGTTAGGTGCCTCCCTCCAGCACTATCTCCTGGGACGCACTCTTCCTTGTTGTGGAGCCGGGCAAATCTTTATCAGCCACTACCTTCTGCCGTCAGGAAGCCAGCTAGAGTGGCGTAAGTACTCATACTCATTTCTATTCATTTCCCACTATTCACCATTTGGAGCTTGTCTTCACAGTCCTAAGTTTTTCTCTTTTTCTTAATAAAGAAAATGTTTTATATTGCCAGACTTGATCAGAAGCAGCAAAATCAGAGTTCTGATAGACTAGAAAGCAATTTACCAAAGCCGCAGGCTTCTTCCTGGAAGCTCGAAGGCGTGCTTTATTTGTGATTTCTGAAGCAAGGTGCATGCAGCACCTGAGCTGATTTGGAAGAGGGTTTGCAGGGAGGTGTCCACCCAAGGTGATCAATGATTCTGAGTTAATTGACACTATTAGGAGTTTCGAGCCGTGTTCTTGAAATAACAATTCAGACTGTGTTCTTGAAATAAGTTTGAGACAAGTGTCTACATGACTCAAAAGAAAAAAGTAGGCAACTGGGAATGGCCCTTTCCAATGATGGATTTATGAACTCCTCTGCGTGTGCCGTCATGCTGAAGGAAATGTTCTTGTGCACCCATCAGGAGAACAAGTCAGTCACAACTGAAGCCACGAATTCGGCAGTTTCCTTGCAGCTGCACTTTCTGATGTGTGGAACCAAGACTTCTGAGAGTAGCGTTTTCTAAGGAGGGAAGTGTTTTAACCAGGACACAGGAATATCTGACAGCGTTTTCTTTGTTTCTGATTACAGCTTTAAAGAAAACTGCGCATCTCCTGCCACTTAAAATCAAAAACTACCTAAAATAAAGATTATAGTAAGTACCAAATAAGTGCCAATGCTGAAGATCTGTTTATTATGCTAGAGCATGAGTGTTTAAATGCTTTCTTCCATATTCATAGCCAACACTTCATATTATTTTTAAAAGTAATAGCTGAGGCATGGAAAATTGAAGACTTCAGGTCTCTCCAATTGCACACATTTCTAATACATGCCGGCAATAGAATACATTTTATTTCATGTGATAAAATAGGGGAGATTAGTTTAATTGAAATCTTGATACTGCCTCGTATTAAAATGCTAAGCACTGCTTCATTTTACTAGTGATCTGGAGGATGAAAAGTTCTTTCGACTTCTGCTGGTGAGCTCTTCAGGTGCAGCTTCCAGAATATTCTTGGGATGTTAACTTTAGCACACACAAGCCTTGTTGTAGATGTGTCCGCTTTGAGGCACAAGGAGACATTTGTTTGTCAGACAGTAACTGCTTCTGGCAAGGGCATAGGGTAAAACTGGGGATGGCAGAGCCCTTTCTTTGTGGTTATTCAACCCCACCCCAAGAATAGTTCAAAGGGACTGTGAGACAGTCTGTGCCCACTGCATTGCCTACTCCTGGCCCCTGCTGCAGACTCCAGCCCACAGAAACTGCTGCTTCACTTATTTGTCAGCTTAACAGAACCTTGGGTGGCATTAATGTGCCTGGCCCCAGACCGAAAAATTAAGAACCACCAGAACCGACCTATTTCACAAGACCCACTCTGCCTGCCACATGCTGAGTGAATTTGGATGGTGCCCACTCTGAACCTCAGTTTTCTCTTCTATAAAATGAAGGCTTGGGCCAGCATGGTGGCTCATGCCTGTAATCCCAGCACTTTGGGAGGCTGAGGTAGGTAGATCATTTGAGGTCAGAAGTTCGAGACCAGCCTGACCAACATGGTAAAACCCTGTCTCTAATAAAAATACAAAATTAGCCGGGTGTGGTGGCATATGCCTATAATCCCAGCTACTCAGGAGGCTGAGGCAGGAGAACCACTTGAACTTGGGAGGCAGAGGATGCAGTGAGCTGAGATCGTGCCATTGCACTCCAGCCTGGGTGACAAGCACAAAACTCTGTCTCAAAAAAAAAAAAGAAGAAAGCTTGAGCTACTTGGTCTCTAAAATCCTACCTAGCTCTCAAATTTCCCAATCTCTTGGTTCTAGGAAAACACTGATGTTGGGCTCAAGGAAGTGGTTCTCCAAGGTGTGTGATTTTTATGGTAGGGGAAAGGCAGGCGCCAGGCAGGGGCAGAAGGGGAAGGTGTCTACACTAAGAGAATGTGACAACCCCTGCCTGTCTCTTTTTCATTCTTCATTCTTTATTTCTTTGTTTTTAGCTTTATATAACATGAGAGCCTTAGCACTGGGTTTCTTAACCATTTGTTCTTTATCAAATAAAATCACGAGGTCAAGAGATCGAGACCATCCTGGTCAACATGGTGAAACCCTGTCTCTACTAAAAATACAAAAAATTAGCTGGGCATGGTGGTGCGTGCCTGTAATCCCAGCTACTCAGGAGGCTGAGGCAGGAGAATTGCCTGAACCCAGGAGGCGGAGGTTGCGGTGAGCCGAGATCGCGCCATTGCACTCCAGCCTGGGTAACATGAGTGAAACTCCGTCTCAAAAAAAAAAAAAAAAAAATTCATAATGCAACACGCAGGCACAGAACTAGCCAGAACTAGTGCAGAACTAGCCAGCTAGTTTACCATAGGCAAATACACACACATGCACACCACAATTTTACCTGAGACACGTCAGAAGTATTTTCCAAAATTGTGGATTTTTCTGAGTCACTCTGGTAAAGAGTAGGTTTTCAGGTTTCAGGCCAAGCCAGCAGAAAATAGTAAAATTAGAATAAACAACAGAGGGAGAAAAAGAGAAATATCACACACACAACTGTTTTGAAACTTCTGGAAAAAGAGTGATATTCTTGGATGCAATGAAGTTTTAAAACGGAAAAAGAAAATTTATAAAAAGCTGCCACATTTGTAGAATTTAACTAAAAACTGTTTATTATTAACAAAGTAATGTTCAAAATTTAAGAGTTCCTGGCCTGGCACAGTGACTTATGCCTGTAATCCCCAGTGCTTTGGGAGGCTGAGGTGGGATGACCACTTGAGGCCAGGAATTCAAAACCAGCCTGGACAACACAATGAGACTTTGTCTCTGCAAAAAAAAAAAAAAATAGTAACAATAATTTTAAAAATTAGCTGGATGTGGTGGCATGGGCAAAAAAAAAACCCACCACTTAGGAGATTCTCAAAGCAGGTTTATGCATGCATACAAACTGTGGCTAGTATCTTATTATAGAAAATAGAGCCCACATCATGCATCCTTCTTCCCATGTTTCATAAACAAGACCAGGGGAACCTGTTGTAGAGCAACTTGTTGCGTTGGTGTTGGTCCCCAAGATGCAGCCTTTACAATCTGCCCCCAAACGTTTCAGAACATGAAGTCCATTCTCCCCTCTGGAACAGGCGGCTTCAGATCCACCAGCAGAGACACATGGCAGAACAAAATCTGGGCATTGGTCTCCGTGTAGGATGGCTTGCCATTGTTATTATTTTTCCTTAAGCAAAGTAAATGAACATTTAATATCCATAGTCGGCTGGGTGTCCCTCCACCTACTGCGAGCTCTTTGGTGAAGGGGAAGTCCTCCTTCTCTGTTAGAGGTCTCCCATGTGGGGCCACGTCTTCCCTCACCAGGAACCCGCGGGGTGCGCTCCAGCCTCCCTCAACTTGCCTTTTGCGTGGTCATTGAAGCTAGGGCACACGTCACGCTGATTCACATATTTCTGCCCTTTGTCACGTATTGAGAAAAAGGAAGGATGAATGGACGGTCTTTGATTGGCGGCGCTGGTGACGCCTGTCATGGTCCTGTTTGGAAGGACTCTTTTGGAACTAAAGCTGGTGAGGCAGTGCGCAGAGGCATCGACCAGCTAAGCTTGGCCCTGGCAGATGGGTCGCATGAACAGGTATGCTTCCTTCATGCAGCCTCTGGCTCGGGGAACCTGGGAGTCTGCTCCAAACTCTGGTGTGTGTTTTCTGGGCAGAGCCTGGGAAGTCGGGGTTGGCTGTGAGATGAGCCAAAAGCACAGGGATCTTGGTCCAAAAAGCCCTGCGGTGCTCATCTTGGTTTGGAGGCTGGACCATTGAGCCGAGGAGTTTTGACAGCCATGAAAAAGCTGGAGGGAAGTCACCTGTGGTTTTACATTTACTCTGTGTCTACTTTATTAGAGTGCCTTTCATTTATTGTCCCTTCTTCTTAGTTGAAATTAATGGCCTGCTTCATTGGGGCTAAGATGTCTGAGCATCGGCAGAAGGTCCTGGGTCCACAGCTTTGCATTGTCTTCCCAGTTAGAATGTGTAGACTCTTAAAAGTTCCCCAAGAAATGCAAATATTCTAGCATGGCAAAATTCTAGAGTGAACTACAACTTTAAGTTATTTTCTCCTAAGGAGTTCTCATGCCTGACTTCTGAAGCAAGTAGTCAGGGCTCCCAGGGGCTCCAGAAGGGTTCAGCAGTTCAGAATAAATGGTTCCTGGGGACTCTGAAAACAGCAGCAACTGTCTGCTCAGGTCATGAGAAGACCCTTCTCTGCAGGACATCCTAACCCTACGACCCACCCCAGTCATGTTGAAATTAGATTCACAAATTACAATAAGTCTTCTATATGTTGGGCTGCAGATTTAGAGAAAACTAGTTTAATCTTTATTTAACTTCGGGTGGCTTAACAGGAGACTCAGGCCATTCAGGTTCTCAATCACGTCTGGCCAGTTATATTATCAGGTTTCGAATCTGTATCTCTAAAATCTCTGAGGTGATGGGATATTTAAACCCCTCTAAAATAAATAAATATATGCTGGAAATTTTGAGAACATGAATTCATTTGTTCTGAAACAGCCCAAGTTCCTGCTTTGGTAGTTGATGGAAAATGCCACCTGAGTGTTTGCATTTGACACTGCCACCTTAGGGCTTCATAGATTCAGTTCCAGAAACTGAAGGCAGTTATGTCTTTGGGCTGCTAGTCCTTGCCTGAGCTGAAGCCTGATGCCTCCCATAAGTTGGTATGGCTTTGAAAATGGGTCACTGCAGCAGAGGCAGGGGCTTACCAAGCAATATTTTCAGCTATGAAATTTGAAGGAGATAATCTGAAAATAAATGATAGCCACCACTTTGACGGATTATGAAATAAAAGGTAACTTTTCATAGGTGCTTAATTATTCATACAATGTTTCATCTTTAACTATCGAGCCAACTCAGCTCCATGTGAACTTAGTTTTGGTTCCTGACTGCCAAGATTCATTGCAAGTCACACAGATGTTGGTGTCAACACTGTTTTGCCAAGACAAAATGACCTTGGTCTGGAATGCAGTGTGTAAATAGCTGCTTTTTTTGTGCAACAATTAATAGTTCATCATTGTTTAAAAAGCAGAATGGTTAGTTGGGCAGTGAGGTAATACAATTGAAATGTAATTGCTAGCGATAAATCAGTTACTCATATTGATTTCCTTACTGGGATTAATAGAAGCCAAAGCTAGAGTTCAATTTTTTAAAATAGATATAACTTACTATCTATTCATTGCTATTTGTTAGATAATTTGTTAGATATGGTAGATGGAACAATGATGGGGCCAGAAATAGCCATGAGGACCATTTGATCACAGCCTGGTAACATGGAGAAGATAGGCTGGTGTCTCTGCGTGGGCTTTCAGTGTTTCTTCATGTAGTGGTATCTTATATGGCTGTGGCTTCAACATTCCACAATTATGCCTTCCAGGGTCTGATGATTTTGGCGTTTCCCTGCTTCCCAATTGACCTGGCTGTGCTGTTGGCTGTTCTTGCACACTCAAGGTGGTTTTGCCATTGGCTTCCTCCCTCAGCCTGCCTCTGGGATTATGCCACTGGTACTCTTTTGTGTCTACCATCAGCACTATGAAATCATCATTTTTGTCTTCAAGGTACCAAATTCTGGTGATATTGGTGCTTTCTTGCAGAAAAAGAAATCTATCATGAGAAGTGAATGGTCCCATAGTGAACACAGTCATGGTTACAGTGTTCATAAGTTCCAGAGGTGTGTTTACTAGAATTATGCCCTGCACATTTTTCTATCATACAATCCTTAGATTACAGCTCTTTGGTTTTCAACAGCTTTGTCCAGTTCCATCTGTCCCAGTTTCTCTACCTTGGTGAAACAGCATTCTTGCCTGGTTTTACACATTTAAATAACAAATTCCAAAAGTAAAGCTTATCTGAGGCAGTCATATGACATAAGGACAAATCCAAGCAATCTTGGACTAGCAGAGGGTTGGGAGGCAGTGTCAACACACTCAATTTTTAAAATTTCGTCCCTTTCAATCTTTTAAAAATAAAATTTTCATAAAATAAAAACTTAATTTCAAAAGGCTGCCTGTCTTGACAAGCAGCTGATCAGCCTGCATTGGTGACGAGGCTACTCCATAACATGATTTCTTGACCCTTAATTGACAGCGTGGAGCCTAAGCACGGGATTTTAGCTCTTTCCATGATTTCACTCATTCTGTTGACATTAACTGTTTTTCAGTCTTCTCAACTAGACTGAGCTCCGTAAGTGCAGGAAATATGTGCTCAGTAAATGTTTGTTGGACCAGACACTGAACATTATGAAATTAAAGACCATAAACTTCTCATGGTAGCATTAGAGACACTGATGGCAAAGGTACTGTGGGATTTGGGTTTGGGCAATAAGCTCTGTGGTGGTATTTCAGAAGGAAAATGGTGCTCTCTTAAGTTCTATGGAACATAATGGTCAAGATCTTCTGCTGTAACCAGGCCCAAAGCTGGCTAATTTGGAGGGCTCTGCTTTAGGGATACTTATGAACTCTGTCCTTCCCTCAAGGAGCCAGAGGAAGAGATAGCCATGGAGGATAGCCCCACTATGGTTAGAGTGGACAGGGGTGAAAACCAGGTTTCACCATGTCGAGGGAGAAGGTGCTTCCCCAAAGCTCTTGGCTATGTCACCGGTGATATGAAAGAACTTGCCAACTGGCTTAAAGGTATTTATGCTTTCAACTTTTGGAAAGACGGGAGAAATAGCTTTGGGGGAAATGGTTTCCTGGTACTTCTACTTATATTTTTAGTTATATTGTCCAACTTTTTATAGATCTCTTTACTCACCGTTTTTCTACTTTTTTATCTTTTAACCTGCAAACTTCTCCAACTTTTTTTTTCTTATGCAGACAGTGGCCAGGGCCCAGCTCATATTAGAAGAAGGCACCTGGCTTCATCTTGTAGTTTCAGTACTTACAAGTTAAATTTACTATTGGAAATTCATTCCTTTGGCTTCAGAGTTTGTGCCTATAAGCATGATAAATAAGTGCATTCGATGCTTTCAGGAGCTTAGATTCTAGGAGGGGCCATGTGAGTTGAGCATATGGTAGATAGATGCAGGGATCTGGGTGCCACTAAAGGGACAAAGCATTCAGAGAGAAAGAAATAAAGAAATATCAAAAATACGTTTGACTTCCAGGAGATTTTGCTGATTTTGCTCAGGGTGGGCCTGTGGTTGGAGAGTGTCAGCTGGCTGCTTCCTCAGCTCTGCTTTATATCATCCCTTCCAGACAAACCTGTGGTGCTCCAGTTCGTCAACTGGATTCTTCGGGGCATATCCCAAGTGGTGTTTGTCAACAACCCCATCAGTGGAATCCTGATTCTGGTGGGACTTCTTGTTCAGAACCCCTGGTGGGCTCTCACTGGCTGGCTGGCAACAGTGGTCTCCACTCTGATGGCCCTCTTGCTCAGCCAGGACAGGTAGGTGTACCCTTTCCAGACTTCTCAGCTCCCTTCTAAGACACAGGGGCTGACCAGTTACTATGGGCAACAGTAATAAAGCCACATCCTTCCCAGGAGAAACAACCTTTAGTCCACAGAACTCTTTATATTTGCCTTTAGTCAGAGGTCAGAGAATCAGTTACAGTCTCTTACTTTTGATATCTGAAGAAGTGTCTGGTCTAAATGATACTAGATTCTTATGGCATTACATGCTAACCAGAACTAAACTACAAGTAATTCCCTGGAGAGATTCTGAAGGAATCTTCTTCAATAAAAATTGATAAAATTATTTGTCGTCAGCATTCTATTCGAGCAAAAGTACATATGAGTTCAGGAAAAGTTTTAGTGAATTAATAACCCCCATTATAGCTTGTTGCCATGATGAGTTTGGCAAACTCATTCTTCATAGACAATGCAAAGGTCAGCTCAGCTCCTGGAGAAAAGAATAACTATAAATTCCAAGTCAGTAGATTCTGACTTAAGAAGCCTCGGCAAGTCTTCTGATACATGCATTAGATTAAAAGTAGCATGTACGTTATAAATTGATCTGTCATTGAAGAAGTGATGAGCTGTCTCTCACCAGGACAGTAGACAGCTCCTCACTAGCCAGTTCCTTCAGGGAGGGAACCAGTATTCCAGGTGTCTGGGATTAATGCATAATCCCCCATGTGGTCATGACACAACCAAGCTCTTATAACACTCCCTGCAAATTGCCTGAAGAGGTCCATGGGGAGAGACTTAGCAAATGGTTCACTTTTCCATCAATTTCAAGGAGATTGATTTGCTTTCTGTAGAAGGGAATTGTATAGCTTAGGTTAAACTCTGTTCTAATGCAAGCCAAGAAAAGATCTTCTCAGTTTGGGGATGGAATCTAGATTTGTGCCATATTGAATATTCCTTTATTGTTTTTGCTCTGATGAAACATGATCAACTATTTTTTGTCAGATATTACTTAGAAGATAAGTCATATGTATATGTGTTAGCTTCAAATGTTTTACTCTCCTTGGTCTGAAAAGACTTCATTAAAATGGCAATCCTCTGTTGTAAGTAAATATATGTCTTGCTGTGGCTTTAACTATGGCATTCCACAACTTATAGATGTTGCCATTAATTTTCCACTCATCAGATTCAAGCATTAACATCTCCAAGTCAGCTGTTGAGAGGACAAGTCTGCACAGCTCTCCATTGTCATCATGTGTAGTCCCAGTTTCTGGGTTGCATCATTGCAAATTGCATCACCTCCAATATGCCCTCAAGGATTATTTAAGGGAGACAAAGAACTTTTGAACAGGGAGTCCCGCCTTTAATGTTCATTCGGGTTAATGTATGTGACATCATCTTGCCTGTTGCAACGGTGCCTCCTGGCCCAGTTAGAAACAAGCCAAGAAGCAGCTGTCACGCTATCCTGTACCAGCCCCTGCAGTGTGGCTCACTGGTTGTAGCACCTCCTGCTCAAGCCCAGCATTAGACCTCACCCACTCACTTCACCATTCTTTACTCCCCCGTCCCCTACAGACATCACCCTTGAGTGCCAGGCCCTTGTGAAATGGATCCTGCACCAGACATTGTCAACTCTCAGAGCTATGGGGGACCTGGCTTGTCAGCATTAGAGCTTAGTCTATGGAAATTCTTCCATTTCTCACTAGGGGGCTTCTAGTTATCAATTATGAAACCAGGACCATTTTGGTCAGAGTAGAATGCTTATACACTGTTGGTAGAAATGTAAATTAGCTCAGCCCCTGTGGAAAGCAGTTTGGAGATTTCTCAAAGTACTAAAATAGAATTACCATTTGACCCAGCAATCCTATTACTGGGAATATACCCAAAGGAAAGGAAACTGTTCTACCCAAAAGACACCTGCACTCACATGTTCAATTCAGCACTGTTCACAATAGCAAATACATGGAATCAATCTAGGTGCCCATCAACAGTGGAGTAGATAAAAATATGTGGTACATATACACCATGAACTACTACATAGCCATAAAAATGATTGAAATCATGTCCTTTGCAGCAACATGGATGCATCTGGAGGCCGTTATCCTAAGTGAATTAACATAGTAACAGAAAATCAAATACCGCACGTTTTCACTTATAAGTAGGAGCTAAACATGGAGTAAACATGGACACAAAGATGGAAATAGTAGACATCTGGGACTCCAAAAGAGGAGAGGAAGGGAAACAAGGGTTGAAAAGCTACCTATCGGGTACTATGTTCAACATTTGGGTAAAGGGTTCAACAGAAGCCCAAACCTCAGTCAGCGTCATGCAACATATCCATGTAACAAACCTGCACACATACCCCCTCAATTTAAAAAAGAAGGAGGAGGAGGAGGAGGAGGAGTAGAAGAAGGAGAAGACAGGGAAGAAGTGAGATTGAATACTAAGCAAAAAGCAACCTCAGAAAGAAATGGGTGCTCAACATCCACATAATTAAATGGGGTACTTCTCCAAGTAAGAGAAAAGCAATTGTTTTTCTTTGTAATAACTTAGAATGTACATCTGGAGATAACAAAATAGAAGCGTCAGAACACAAAAATGTATGCTAAGTTGGAAGATGAATGTTTATAAGATCAAAGGCACTATGAAAGCAAATTTACATTTCAGGAATCTTGTATCTCTCACCGAGAAATCAAACTTAGGAAACAGTTTCATATGCTAAAGGCGCTATTCAAGTCAGAGGCTCTTGATTTAAAAGAAAGAATAACTTTCCAAAGGAAAGGCTAAAAGGAAACAGAGCAGGTTGCTTTGCTAAACTCCCCTTTCCTCTCTCAGCCACTGTAGACCTGTCTTTAGCAGTGACACCTGTGGAGGGAGTCGTTCTATCTCAGGGGTTCCCCAACCCCTGGGCTGGAGACAGGTACTAGTCTGTGGCCTGCTGTCAACCAGACCACACAGCAGGAGGTGAGCGGTGGGCAGGTTACCGCCTGGGCTCCACCTCCTGTCACATCAGCGACGGCATTAGATTCTCTTAGGAGCACAAACCCTATTGTGAACTGCGCATGCAAGGGATCTAGACTGAATGCTCCTTATGAGAATCTAACACTTGCCTGATGATCTGAGGTGGAACAGTTTCATCCCGAAATCATCCCCCTTTCCCCATGCATGGAAAATTGTCTTCCATGAAACCTGTCCCTGGTCCCAAAAAGGTTGGGGACCACAGATCCAAATGCACATTTATATTTTTATCTATGTATATTTCACTTCATGTCTTTATTAGTATTTGTAAAATACTTATATAGATTTTGAAATACATTTCAAAATATAATCTCATTTTTTAATATGATTATGATCTGGAAGTTACGAGTGTTATTTATGTGCAAGTGCAACCAAAGCCCACCCAGAAAATGTCCGTGCTGTGTCTCTTGCCCCGCAGGTCATCAATAGCGTCTGGGCTCTATGGCTACAATGCTACCCTGGTGGGAATACTCATGGCCGTCTTTTCAGACAACGGAGACTATTTCTGGTGGTTGTTATTCCCTATATGTGCTATGTCCATGACTTGGTAAGTTACAACTGGTTTTCAAAATGCCTTTTTAAAAAAATATATGGCAGGAGTGGGGAATGGGCATTATTTTCATATGGGCATAGAGTTTCAGTTTTGCAAGATGAAAAATTTTCTGCAAATTGATAGTGATGATGGTTATACAACAATGGGATTATTCTTAATGTCACTGAACTGCACACTTAAAATGGTTAGCCGGGTGCAGTGGCTCTCGCTTGTAGTTCAAACTACTCAGAAGGCCGAGGGGGAAGGATCACTTGAGCCCAGGAGTTAGGGGCTGCAGTAAGCTATGATTGCATCACTGCACTCCAGTTTCCAGAACCTCCTTGCTTGGTCAGAGTGAACGGAAGAAAGAGAAGGAGGGGGACGAGGAGGGAGAGGGAAGGGAAGAGGAGAAGCAGGAGAGGGAAGAGGAGGGAAAATGGCTAAAATGGTAAATTTAAAAGTGGATTCCTTTAGATTCTGTCGGAAACAGAAACAACCATTTTATAAGATGTTTATTTCCTTACAACCAGTTATTTGGCCTTTTGTCTGATGTGGCTACACATCCACCAATACCTCTCAACCAGAGGTTCTCAACCCTGGCTGCACACTGACACTTCCGTGGGGAGCAGAAACCGTGCTGCAGTGAACATACCAGTGCAGGTGTCTTTTTGGTAGAAACACACTAATGCACATGGCCCCACACACACCTAACTCCTCCCTCCCAAGACTCTGCTGTCATTTGTCTGCGTTAACACCTGGTCATTGGGAATTTCTAAAGCTTCCCAGGTGACTCTACAGTATAGCCTAAGTTCAGACCCACGTCCTTCATCATTGCTTCTCAAACTTGAGCACTATCAGAATCACCTGCAGTGGTTGTTAAAACACAGGCACCTGCTCCCCATCCCCGGGGTTTCTGATTTAGTCTGTCTGGGGTGGGGCCTGATCATTTGCATTTCTACCACATTCCCAGGTGATGCTGGGAGAACCACTGTGCCTACGTGAATTCTCCTTACCCACCTGCCCCCCAGCACTGGGACCTGGGGACCATACAGCCCAGCCCCCCAGTTTACAGGCTCCCTTAGAAAATTTTTTTCCACGGAATTTCATTTTTTTCAAACCCGAATCCTTCAAACTAGTTTTTATGTTGATATTGTCTTAAATCCTTTTTCTGGAAACAAAGATTTCCTTCTTTCTATATTGCAATTAAATATAAAATACTAATACACACATAAATGAGAAGCACAGCCTGCTGTGGGCAGTGTCTGCAGAAGGGCCACTCACCCTTGCTGCACCCACGGGTATGTGGATGAGGACCTACCTATAGAACCAGCCTCCTCAAGAGGTAATTTGGGACCTGCTCTGAAGAATAGGTTCATGGGAAGGAGGCCTCGCCTGCAAGTGCTCACCACACTCCCTTCTACAATCCAGGAAAATGGGAGTTCTGGTCTTGAAGTGATGGCTCCTTGATTGGGCCAACAAATGACAGCCTACAGGGACCTGGGGACCATACAGCCCAGCCCCCCAGTTTACAGGCTCGGAGACTGAGGAGACGCGCCTTGCCCAGGTCATGCAATTTATCAACAGCTCAAGGACGCACACTCTTGAGATCTTTTTCCTCTCGCTCACATTACCCACATCCTTGAACAATTGTTTCTCTTTTCCAAAGATAGATACAAGAAAGAAATGATATATGCCAAATTCAGGATCGCGGCTGCCCCTAGCGGGGAGGGAGGGACATAAGAGCAAGAGGAGGTACAATGGGGACTTTAACTATGTAGACAATATTTTATTTTGTATGTAATAAGTACTTCAAAATTATTTTTAAAATCTCAATATATAGCTCACTCTGAGCAACTCCAAGTAGAATTTTTCAAAAGCCAAATAAGCTGAGAGGTGAGTTTTTACTTTATGCAATATTTACTGTCTCTATAATAGGATTTATCCCAAGTTTTCTTTCTGTGGCAAATTTGCCAGCACAACATGTGAGGGACCTATTGGCAGGTGAAACAAAGTCCCTCTGGAGTATAGCGATTCCGTGTGTCAGCCTGGTTTGTCACATGCATGTTCTTCTGCTCTGTTCTTTTTTTAGCCCAATTTTCTCAAGCGCATTGAATTCTGTGCTCATCAGATGGGACCTCCCTGTCTTCACCCTCCCTTTCAACATGGCATTGTCAATGTACGTTTCAGCCACAGGACATTACAATCCGTTCTTTCCAGGCAAATTGGTCATACCTGTAACTTCACAGCCAAATATCTCCTGGTCTGATCTAAGTGCCCTGGAGGTAAGAGACACTGGCTTCTTACATTCCCCCTGGCTCTCCAAGATACGTAATGGCCTCCTAGTCAATTGTCCATGGATGTCAGAGTCTCCTAGATGCTCAGAACCATGGTGGCCTTTCTGCCTTCAATTTGCCATTTAAGGCATTTGTTCTACTCCAGAGCATTGGGATCTAAGGGTTTTTTAAAAATTATTATTTAGTCAAGCTAATTTTTCTGCCTTTTACTCTAAACATCTACAGTGCTAGCCCCAGAGTGTAGTTCCACTGGGAGTCACTCTATCGTAAGCTTGGGGGTAAGGTGATGGGAGCCACCTTAAGGCATGTGGCCTCCAGCCTGGTTTTAAATCTTCCACAATCTACTTCCTCCAATCAAAAAACTGGATGCTTACTGTTAGAGCTCATAACAGCACCTCACTATTCTGCTCTTCCTTATGGCATAGCCCATAGAACATGTAGAATAATTTAGGGTTCACGAGCTTTGATAGGCATCAGAATCACCTGGGCAATTTTGTTTTTAAACACCCAAACAGGCTTCCTCTCAGACACTCTAAGTCATAATCTCTAAGGGTGGGACCTGGAACCTGTTTTAACAAACCCCCTAAATTGTGATGCAGGCCAGAGTTTGAGAAGCGCTATATCAAGGGATGCATTCTATGTATCTCTTTAAAGATGGCGATAAAGAGATCCTGTATTTTTTAAAACCTAGTTAACCCAAATCAAATTCCAGCCCTTCCTGTTGGTGTATAATGAATCTGCTTAAGGTTTCTGGATTGTCAAGAACAAGAGAACACCTGAAATTGGAAGAAAACCAAAGAAACCTTACCTTTTTCAATGTGCTCTCCCACTTTCGGGTTATGAAACACCCTTTTCTGTCTTCTTCGTTGAGTGATCAAAACACAGGAGGAGCTCAAGTCACCTTTTCTTTAGCTTATTGCCAGAAAATGAGAGGGAGCACCTAGAAATAATTCAGAAGGAAAATCAAAGATTCATTAGAACTACCCATGAAAAATAACAGTATAAAATAGCATTAATCTATCTAGAACCGCACTAACACAGGAGCCAGCAACCCCACGTGGCTATATAAATTTAGATGTAAATTAATTAAAAATTGAGTTCCTCAACCTCTCCAGCCACATCTCAGGTGCTTGATAGCCACACGTGCTAGAACCCACTGTATTAGACATCACAGATACAGACTATGGCATCGCCTCGGAAAGTTCTCCTGCACAGTGCTGATCTGGGGCAGGGGAAGCCTTGTCCTTCTCTTCACTCTGAACGACCAGCCCATCATCAGCACCAACCCCAACCCCATGGCTACCTGAGAGAGAGTCCCGCAGTCAAGTCCAAAGGAAAAAAAAAAAAAAAAAAAGCCTATGCCATCTTTGCCAAGTTTCCTGGTACAGAAATAGCAAATGTTTAGACATGAAGACCCAGCATGGGCTGGAAGAATTTAGAGTCTACCTTAGGATAGAGGCAAACTCACACTATGGTCAGTGCACTTAGCCGGTGTTAGACTCAGCCTAATATACGGGAGAAGACATTTCCCCTTGTGCCAAAGTTGGGGCTGCCTCTGGCAGAGTCACTGCCTCCAGAAGGTCTTTGGTACACATATGACCTAGAAATGGCGGAGAGGGCAAGATGGGAGCTGGGGAAAACATCTTTCAGTAAATAGCCTTGCTCAAAAGGGACATGCAGTGGCTAATTATGCCTATCCTAGCCCTACCAGAAGCTCAGCTGTAAAGAATGATCACTTGTTAGGTGCGGCCAAACCCTTGTTCACTCCTGAGAACTGCCATTCTGTGAACAGAATAACTAAATTCAGGCCTCAGCCAGGAAGTAGAATTGTGACATTTCCACGTATTTTTGTGTTTTGAGGCCTGCTTGACAGCTGTGCATAACTAGAATAAGCTAAAGATATCTTGGTTTAAATGAATACATGTTCCACTTAAAGACAGAAAAGTAAATTCACAAACTTGCTAATAATTGCTTCTAAATTGTGGATAAGATAGCCTGGCTTTGGGTCTCTGGCTTTAGTGTAAGCATCCAAATTGCATGGTGATAATAATGTCTCTATTGAACATAGGGATGCATGGATAGAATAGATTGTCCTCAGCACTGACGGACAGTTGAAAGCAAAAGAAGTATCAGCTGTGGTCCCTGCCATCCCCAGGGGGAAGCGTGGCAGATCCTCACAGCCAGGACCAGTGAGTGGCATCACACTGGGAGCTTATTGGTGAGCAAGGCCAAGTGTCAGTGCAAGCAGGAGAGCCCGCAGGGGGAGCTTTGAGAAGGCATGCATGGCATGCGCCAGGGAAGGGCTGGTGTGTCTCTGGGGATAAAGCTGAAGAATGGCTGGGATTTTTCTGTAATGAAAGAGAGAGAGAATTTCAAAAGGCAGTAACACTGTTCTTGAAAAAGATAAGGTATGTCAAGTCTAAAATTACATTGTAGGAGTTTGTGGGTGTCCTGGGGGGTTTCCAGTTGTTTTGGCGGCCTCATTTTTAAAAATTTCTTTTGCAGTTATTGAAATCTATACCAGTGGGGGTTGGTCAGATCTACGGCTGTGATAATCCGTGGACAGGGGGCATTTTCCTGGGAGCCATCCTGCTCTCCTCCCCACTCATGTGCCTGCATGCTGCCATTGGATCCTTGCTGGGCATAGCAGCAGGTGAGCATAAGGGCCCTTACCAAATATCAAGCACCTCCTCCATCCCATGCAGTCTCAGGCATCTCCTGTGCTCCAGATCTTTCTTGCGGTCTTGGCTTCCTACCGACCAATGGGAGTTCTCGGGATGCTTCCCGCTAACCTGCAAGCCCACCCTCAGTCTCCTTCCACAACATCCTGCCTTTAGTCCTAAGCTCTGACCCCTCCTGTCTTGTCTAACAGGACTCAGTCTTGCAGCCCCATTTGAGGACATCTACTTTGGACTCTGGGGTTTCAACAGCTCTCTGGCCTGCATTGCAATGGGAGGAATGTTCATGGCGCTCACTTGGCAAACCCACATCCTGGCTCTTGGCTGTGGTGAGTCTCCCGCACACCTGGGGAGGGCTGCTCATGACTACAGGATCAAAATAAAGGAAAAGCAATAAAAATCAGGGCCAGGGGTCTGGCTTGGGGCCACTTGCTGTCTAAGTGTGTGAACAGGACACGTGACACCCCTTCTGAGTCGCCTCTGCCTACCTCCCTGGTGATTGTGAAGGCACGAGCCTGTTGACTCATATTAACATACTAAAATATGGATGTTTGGGAGGATAGAAACTACTTGTCCTACCTTCTTCAAAATAGTTGTTTGACCCAAGAAACTAAAGGGAAATAACGCCAGCTAAATACAGAGCAACATCTCCTAGTCAATCAGAGTTGATTACATTTGGCTCTTTGAGCATCACAGTAATCCAGCCGTTCTAAAGCTTGAGAGTGCATCAGAATCACCTGAAAGACCTGTTAAAACACAAATTGCTGTCCTCCCCCGCCCCTCCTCAGTCTCTGATTCAGTGTTAGAGGTGGGGGGGGGAAGAATGTTTTTTGTTTTTTCTGAAAAAGGGTCTCATTCTGTTGCCCAGGCTGGAGTGCAGTGGCATGAACACAGCTCAATAAAGACGGGGTCTTCCTATGTTGCCCGGGCTGGTCTTGAATTCCTGGGCTCAAGCAGTCCTCCCGCCTCCGCCTCCCAAAGTGCTGAGATTACAGGCATAAGCCACCGCACCCTCAGAATTTTCACTTCTAACAAGTTCTCAGGCAGTGCTGATGCTGTTGTTCTTGGGACCACATTTCAAGAACTGTTGTATTAATCCTTTCTGACCCCCAGTGTTCTTGCCAGACTCAGCCTGTCAGAGCAACAAGGCATTCTGGAGACTTCCACTCCATCCTTCTCACTTTATTGTTGGGGTCCCGAGGCCAGAGAGGCTAAGGGATATGCTGCAGGGCATCTGGGCAGTGAGGGGTAAATTCACACCCAGAACCCACACTTACCATTCACCTCCAGAGTTATCCGACTGCTCTCCTCCGCTTCCCTTTTGTAGCATTCAGGCCTTCAGCGCAACCTCTTAGGTGAAAACAGACTGCATGTGGTTTAAATCTGAAAAGCTAATGGATGTCCCAGGTGGATTGTGAATGGAGGCTCATTCACCCATAGCCTCTGGCATCTCTGATTCAACAAAAGTATAAGCATTTAAAATAACCTTCTAGAGTGGGGAGAATGTGAATCCCTTGGGAACAAAAAGGAAGGATAGTGGAATGTGGAGAAATTATTTCTAATCTAGTGAAAACATATGTCTATAGTCAATTTATCACCAGATTAATCAAGGTATCTAAGCAGTTATTAAAATGGTGGACCATGTATCAGGCAAGGTTTAGAATAGGTTTCTGCACTGGCAGAAAATAGGATGATACCAGTGGTTTTTAAAGACCCATTCTATTTTGATTTGATGCTATAGCAAAGGTAGCAACTCAGGTTGCTGTGGTATAGCCATGTAGATGTCATTTTGTAAAATTCTTTACTGTTACTCAGTTATTTCACCTAACATTTCTGTTTAAATGTTGTGCTCCTTCTCCATATTTGTTCACAAGCTTAGGGTAAAGGAGAGGGTTATGGACAGGTGCTGTAGTCACCTGAGTTCAGCTGGGTTAGAATGTTTATCCTACAACCTTTCAGCTTTATTCTGAGATTCGTTAGGGGTTTCAAACCTTTATTTGGGATGCATACCTTTATTTTTCTGGGGGCCATTGCCACAAATACGTATTAAACACACATGATACAATTGAGACAGTACCAGGAAGAGCAAGTGATTTAGAAGCTTTAGGTCCTCTGCAGTTCCTGTGGACAGAGCATTACAGTAGAAGGCAGAAGCCAGGCAAGGGAGGGAGCCCAAGGGATACCATGCAATCTTTGTGGGAGAAGAAGGAGAAGTCCACAGTACAGGATTCTCCAGGGGGCCATTTCCATTCAGAATGATCACAAAGTGCCTCCTAGAGAAGGGGGCTTTTCCATAAATGCTAGAAAATAAGAGGAGGAATTCTGTTTGGTGGAAAGGGTGGTGCAGGCCAGCCTGGGGACAGCCTGAGCATGTCCTTCAACATCAAGGAGAAGCCACCTTGAGCACAGGAGTTGGTGATGAGATTTTGGCAGACCATGGAGAAGGACGAAGCCAAAGCTCTTGACATGTGCTTCCCCAAATGGGAATATCTTTGACATTTTCTCAATTATAGAAGCAGCAGCACAGGTTTATTGTATAAAACAAAATAAAAATGTAATCTGTATAGAAATGTATACAACAGAAAGTGGAAACACTCCATCTTACTCCCTAGAAAGGACTTTTTTACCCCTTTCTTATGAGGACCCTTGTGATTACATTGGGTCCATTCAATAGTCTAGGATACTTTCCCCATCTCAAGGTCTTTAACTTAATCACAGCTGCTGCTAAGTCCCTTTTGCATTTGAGGTCACACAGTCTCAGGTTCCGAGGCTTAAGATGTGGACACCTTTGGGGAACATTATTCTTCCTACCACACTCACCTTCCCTTGGATAGATGTGTGTGTGTGTGTGTGTTTTGTTTTTTTTTCCACTGGTGTAGCATAATGGTTAAGGCAGTATACTGAGCTAGTTAAGAGCTCAGACTCTGGTGCCAGACAGCCTGGATTGAATTCCAGCAGTTCTGCTACTTACTAGTGTGTTTGCTTATGAACTTAAGCAAATTATTTAACCTTTCCATGGCTCAGTTTTCCCATCTTAAAAAATGGAAGTTACCATATTTAATTCATACTGTTGTTCTGATGATTAAATTAATGTGTGTGTAAAACTCAATGAATAGATAGTGTCTAGCACTCAGTAAGCACTATTTAAAAGTCTGGGAAAAAGTTTTTCTGGTGGCTTTGCATAACTTAATAAGAATCAAACTTGTTTATGTTCTCCTCTCAATTTCTTAAGTTCATCAACACCTGTACCTTCTCCCCAAATACAACTAATACCTGGGCCTGCTTTTACTTCCTCTGAGAAGGCCCACCCCCTAACAACTACTAAAACCATTGATACTGGATAGAATTTTTATTTTGGATTAATTGTAAGTATGGGTTTTTGTTTGTGATACTTGCTTATTTAGGCAACTGTAAACTTTATTAACTTGTTTATTCACTCTTAGTTCATATTAACCTTCTGTATTTTTTTTCTTTTTTCTTTTTTTTGACAGAGTCTCATTCTGTTCCCCATGCTGGAGTGCAGTGCTGCCGTCTCAGCTCACTGCAGCCTCCACCTCCTAGGTTCAAGCGATAGAAAAATTTTTTGTATTTTTTGTAGAGACAGGGTTTTGCCATGTTGGTCAGGCTGGTCTCAAACTCCTGACCTCAAGTGATCTGCCAGCCTCGGCCTCCCAAAATGCTGAGGTTATAGGCATGAGCCACTGTGCTCAGCAACCTTCTGTATTTATGTGTCTTCCTGCTGGATTACTTTTTCAAAGAGGGTTTGCAAAGAGAGTTTTGTTTTCTTCAAAGAGGGTTTGCAAAGAGACCTTGTATGCTGGAGAATATCTTCATTTTGCCTTCATTTAAATTTTAGTTTTGCTGGCTACCAAAGTCAAGATTTAACATTTTTTCTCAATATTTTGAAAATTGTCTTCAAAAACTACTCCATTATCTTCTTATACCTTAAATTGTTATTAAGATGTCTGAAAAGAAACTGATTCTTGTTAAAGTTGATTTTCTCTTTCTCTCTGGACTCTGAATTTTCTCTTCACATATTAGATATATACATAGTTTTATTTCACTATTATCTGTCTAGATGTAGCTTTTTTTTCTATGCTACTTGGTACTCAAGTCCCTTCAGTGCGAGCCCTCATATCTTTCCTTAATTCTGGGAACAATATCAGTTTTCACTTTGTCAAATCTTTTCAATTTTTTCCCCTCTCCTTCTGTGATTTCTAGGATTTGAGTGCAATATTTTATGTTATTTTTTTCATAGCTCTTGACTTTTTCTTAATATTTTCCCTCTATCTTTTCATGAGGCCCTTCAGTTCAGTTGATCAGCCCCATCATTCTTTGACTCTGTCCATTGTGCTGACCACATCATCCATTGAGTTCTTCATTTCTGGTACATTAATAAATTTTATTGGCCAGGCACAGTGACTGACGCCTGTAATCCCAGCACTTTGGGAAGCTGCGGTGGGTTGATCACAAGGTCAAGAGACCAAGACCACCCTGGACATCATGGTGAAATTCCATCTCTACTAAAAATACAAAAATTAGCTGGGCATGGTGGCACGCTCCTGTAATCCCAGCTTCTCAAGAGGCTAAGGCAGGATAATTGCTTGAACCTGGAAGGCAGAGGTTACAGTGAGCCAAGATGGCGCCACTGCATTCCACCCTGGTGACAGAGCAAGACTGTCTCAAAAAAAAAAAAAAAATGTATCGACTGTAGGTTGTTTGGTTTATTGTCCTTCTTTTATGGTCTTTGCTCCCCTAGGATGTCCCTTTTCCTTGTCCTGGGAGCTCATGTTTCCCTCAGGATATCAGCTGTCTGGGTGAGTCCCTGAGTGGAGAGTGGAAGCCCAGGCCTGAGCTGCATTTTTCCTGATGTATCTAAGAAAAAAGGGAGGCCCATGCTGCAGGGTGTAGAACCTCCACTGCTCAAGGCCATGGAGATGGTGGCTGTGTAGACACTTTATATGATAAGTGCCCTCTCGCTGGGGGAAGTTCAGATTGCTTCTAGTTTGAAACCATTACAAATAGTCCTGCAATGAATCTTTTTGGTACAAATGTCCTTGTGTACTTTGTACAAGCATTTTTGTAGAAAAGAAGATTCACCTTCTTTCCAAGAAGCTGAATTGATGGGTTAAAGGGAAAGCCAATTTTAATTTCAATGGATGCCAACTTCATCTCCAAAAGGGCCATACCAGTTTCCACTGCTGCCAACAGCGTGTGACAGTGCCCGTTGGGTCCCCGCGGGGTACAATCAGACTTTTAAATCTCTGCGCATGGATTTTTGAGACAGATCTCCAGCCCCTATTGTCAAGCAAATCTCACATGTAAAATGCCACAGCAAGTTTCAGCTTGTCCACAGCACCCCAATACTGCCAAACAAAAGACCAACCCTGTCAGCCAAGGTAAATAAATGGCAGATATTTATTACAGAGCTGTTTTTTCATTAGTTCCCAGTGACTTTATCCGGAAGGGGACTCGGGAAACTCTAACAGAACCTGGCACTGCTCTTATCTGGCCTCTAAGCCAGGACAACTGCATGGCCAGAGAATGTCTCCATGTTGTTGTTTTATTAGTGGAAACTGTAAACACATTTTGTATTCTTCTCAACGGCTGGGTTATCATAGTGGGACTCAAAAGGAGACAAGGCAGTAAGGTCTCATGTGCTCAAGGGCGGTGTTGTGGCAGAGGGGGCACTCAAGAGAGCAGGGACAGAGGGCCCCAGTGCTTAGCAGAGGGCCAATGAATAATTGTTGAATTAATTGATTAATGAAACTTTAACAATGAATGGAATTGATGTGACTGAGGAGAGAAACCCTTCTAAGCCAAGCCATGAGCACCCTTCTGCTCAGAGCAGTAGCTTAGTCCCATGGTGAAAGAGGTGCATTCACATCTGTGTTTGTGGAACTACAACCTCTCATTTGAGATTCATACCTCCCAGTAAGGCAGATCTTCAAGTTGCTTTTCACAGATGATAAAACTAGATTCCAAGACATTCAGTGATTTGTTATACAGCAAATAAAATGGCAGAGCTGGGATTTGAAACCAGTACTGTTTCCAAAGACCAGCCCTTCCTGCTAGTGTGAGACAATTCAGACATGAAAACATTTGATCTACTATTGAATAAGGAACACCAGGATAAAAAGATAACATATTAGTCAAAGGACAGAAGTCTATGGTAAAGTAAATGAGGGTCACAGAGGCCCTCCCACCATGTCCTGCCATATCTCCACACACCAAGACAGCTCATGTGATTTCTCACCAGACATGAAGATGAGATGGTGAGTGTGTCTAACAGTGAGCTGTGGTGGCCCAAGTGGCTGTGTGGCCATTATATGAAGGCCATTCTTCAGGCTGTCCCCGTGAAACCTGAGGGCTTCCCTGAGCCTCTGTGAGCCTCCTCTTCATCCAAAACTGAGGAATAGATAATTAGCTGGTTGATATCTTTGCTTTTGTTGTTTTACATGGAAAGTCACACCTATACTCAAATTACTGACTCTAAAATTTTTTTTGGCCACGCAAAGTAAATAAAAACATAAGACGTCTATTCATTGATTTTAATGGTATTGGAGAAGATGTTATCAAGGGCAGAAATCCTGAGTTTGTGTTCAGTTCCTACTGCTCTCTGAGTTCTTTCCTTCTTATTTTGGTATATATGGTTTGGTTTCGGTTTTGAGTACATGGGCTGCCAAAGCAAGCACTATGATTTTTTGCTAGGAATTCAGTTCATTAATATGAGAATCCTAGAGGCAGAGAGATTGTTTAGAAACCATGCTATCAAGCCGGGCATGGTGGCTCATGCCTATAATCCAAGCACTTTGGAGGCCAAGGCGGGCGGATCACCTGAGGTCGGGAGTTCAAGACCAGCCAGACCAACATGGTAAAACCCCGTCTTAAAAACCCAAGAAAAATTAAATTAAAAAGAAACCATGCTACCTCAAGAATCATTCATAGGTTTCATTTTAATTCAGCTATGCTTGGATAAAACATCAGAGAAGTTTATTGCCATGGAAGGACTTTCCCTTAAGTATCAGCAATAACAACAAAATAGTAACCACAAAAAACTACCTTTATTGAGCACTTACTGTGTGCTAAACACATGCATTATTGACTTTCAAGTTCACACCAACACTATGAAAGAGATATTCCTCTTATTTTTATTGCACAGGTGAGGAAATGGAGGGTTAAAACAGAGTCCATGGAGCTCCTAAGTGGTAGAGCCAGGATTTGAACCCAGGACTCCTGACTTTAGGCTCATGCTTGTAACCAGGGCACTGTGCATTCTAGGTGATTTATATTGGAAGGAAGCCTTTCCTGTGATTAAAAGTGCATCTACCAAGCATTGTTCTCTCTCGCTTTCTCTTTTTTTTTTTTTCTATAGCCCTGTTCACGGCCTATCTTGGAGTCGGGTTGGCAAACATAATGGCTGGGGTGAGTTTGCTTTAATCTCACTTTTTATTAGCATAACTGACAAGCTTTCAATTATATGGGAAGTGCTCCTGAAGTCCACTGTGGTGGCATCCAGTGGCAGGACCCATGACCATGTGAAACACTGCTCTCCCTTCTGCTGGAGCTGCCTGGCCTTTCAGCATCACAGCAAATTTTAGTCTAATCCACAATCACCCAGTATGTTACAAATATCAGATGGCTTGGTTAAAAAAAAAATGAAACTTAGGTTGTATAATATATTATCAAGTTCAGAGGCTAACTCTGAGTGATAAGAAGTAGACTTTAGGATATCTTTCCCTTAACCAGAAAGCCAGATATTCCATTGCAGGTGATGCCGGGCCAGTTTCTGATAGCTCAGTCCATGTTGACGTGGTCATGGCTGCTAAGGATTCAAGGCAGCATCTAGCCCTCTTGGCAGCAGCATGGAGATTTTATCTGGGAGGGTCCCTAAGGAGACAGAGTATCTTTCTAGTAGAAAGCCAAAGTGCCATTACAGCCATGCATGATGAAGGGTATATCAGAGCACAGGGAGCCCTTCACATGTCAACAAAGAAGGTTCACAGGCATCAGTCCATGGACCCAAATGGGCAAACTGCACATCAGAATCAACTAGGAAGACAGAAAAATATGGAGCCTTAGGCCCTGTCCTTTGGTATTGCTGATAGAGTAGGTCTTGTATGATGCTTGAACATATGTGTTTTTTTAACTACTCCAGATGATTCTATGTACAGTCATGTTAGGGTACCTCTACACTCCATCACACCCTGCGGAGGTCCATGCGTTGGCCAGAGCTAACCAATGGTGTGTGCTCAGAATTGTGTGTTTCCATGGGCAGCACAAAGAGGGCCTACCCTCAAGGAACTTAGAGTCTATTTGGGAAACAGAATGGAAAGAAACAAAGTAAGTCAAGTCTAAGACCTAGACCAGGCAAAAGTCAAGGTTAGAGAGGTCACTGTGGGTTGGACTAATCATAGAAGGCCTTGCATACATGACGAGTGGTCAGGGGCCATCTGCAATTTGCAAGTGTCATCTCTGTCTGTCAGGTGTCCTCTTGGCACATCTGGGACAGGAAATCTGAATATATGAGAGGGAGAGAAAGACATACCAGATAGAGACATAAGTGGCTACCCTAAAGAATGGATGTCAACATTCCAACTGCTCAGTGCCCTGAGATTGTAGACTCAGTCTCCATGAGCATGCACAGAATCCACCGCAGTGTCCCCAGTGGCTCATCCCCCTGGGCTGAATGTGAGTAGAGGGGGATGCTTTGTGCAGCCCAGCTGTCAGATGGGATCTGAAAGGAGTATGTGGCTTTCTCTTCTTTCCCAGATTGGATTGCCAGCTTGTACCTGGCCCTTCTGCTTGGCCACGATATTGTTCCTCATCATGACCACAAAAAATTCCAACATCTACAAGATGCCCCTCAGTAAAGTTACTTATCCTGAAGAAAACCGTATCTTCTACCTACAAACCAAGAAAAGGATAGTGGAAAGCCCTTTGTGAGAATAAGCCCCATCTGCAGCCATGGTCACGAGTCATTTCTGCCTGACTGCTCCAGCTAACTTCCAGGATCTCAGCAAACTGCTGTTTTTCATGAGTATCAACTTTCATACTAACGCATCTGCGATCTGTTCTTATGCTCATTTTGCATTTTCCTTTCAACTCCAGGAATATCCTCAAGCATATGAGAGCCACATCTAGGTGATGTGCTCTTGTATGGAATTGGAAAGCCCAGTGGGGGCTTAGCACTCAGACTGGAACACATATAAAGTCAAAGTGCTCCAACAGAAGGAGGAAGTAAAAACAAACTATTGTTATTTATTGATATTCTTGGTGTTTCACTAGCTGGATGATGTTAACAGTATTAAAAATTAAACCCCATAAACCAACTAAGCCTTATGGAATTCACAGTTGCAAAATCGAAATTAATTCAGAATTCTGTGACAAGCAGCTTAGCTTTAAAAGAAAAAAAAAAATCAATGCAAGTTACAAATTACAGCCTGGGTCAATATTACAGAGGTGCAAGTTGACAGCCAAGCTCGGTCCCCACTTCCTGCAAACAATGGCCTGCACCCTGTCCATTCTGTGTGTGGCATTCTCTCATGGGACATGGTTGGAGTTTTTCAGACTGATGGGACTGCAAGAGGGAGAGATGAATTTTGTTCAGCAAAATTATTCTGTATTGCAACTTTTCTCACAGACTGTAAAGGATTTTTTAGGTAGAGATTATTTTTCCATATGAAAAATGATCTGTTTTAAAAGAGACAAAATAGGAGCAGTTCCTGGCTTAACCTGTTCTTAGATATTAAAGAAAACTTACATACTGTATTTATGAAATACTCAGGTATTTTCACTTTAGCCCCTACATTGATTTTGTAAATGCCACAAATGCATAGAATTGTTACCAACCTCCAAAGGGCTCCTTAAAATCATATTTCTTATTCATTTGAGGATGTCTTATAAAGACTGAAGGCAAAGGACAGATTGCTTATGGGTGTTATTTTTATAAGTTGTTGAATTTCTTAATTAATAAAAGCTCATTATTTTCTGCACACTCACAATATTCTCTCTCAGAAACCAATGGCATTTGAACCACCAAAAAGAAATGAAGGCTGAGCATGATAGCTCATGCCTATAACCCAGCACTTTGGGGAGCTCGGGTGGACAGACTGCTTGAACCCAGGAGTTCAAGACCAGTCTGGACAGCATGTTAAAACCCCATATCTACAAAAATTACAAAAATTAGCCAGGCGTGGTGCTGGGCGCCTGTAGTTCCAGCTACTCAGGAGGCAAAGGTGGGAGAATCGCTTGAGCCCAGGAGGTGGAGGCTGCAGTGAGCTGAGATCACGCCATTGCACTCCAGCCTGGAAGACAGAGTGAGACCCTGCCTCAGAAAAAAAAGAAAAAGAAAAAAAGAAATACAGGTAAGGATTCTCCTGTTTTCCTCTCCTTCATTTAAAAGTTATCAATTCTCTAAAGTTTCTGTGACCAAACATGCTGAAGACAGCAATAGAAGTCATGTTCAGAGGCTGGGCACAGTGGCTCACACCTGTCATCCCAGCACTTTCGAAGATGGAGGCAAACTCTGGAGCCCAGCTTGGGCAACACAGCAAGACCCCATCTATAAAAAAATAAAAATAACAACATCAGCCAAGTGTGGCGACGCACGTCTGCAGCAGCTACTCGTGAGGCTGAGGTGGAAAGATTGCTTGAGCACAGGAGTTTGAGGCTGTAGTGAGCTATGACCATGTCACTGCACTCCAGCCTGTGTGACAGAGCAAGAACCTCTCTCTAAAATAATTAATTAATTAATTAATTTAAAAAGGAAGTCATGGCCGGGTGCGGTGGCTCAAGCCTGTAATCCCAGCACTTTGGGAGGCCGAGGCGGGTGGATCACGAGGTCAAGAGATCAAGACCATCCTGGTCAACATGGTGAAACCCCGTCTCTACTAAAACTACAAAAAATTAGCTGGGCATGGTGGCGCGTGCCTGTAATCCCAGCTACTCAGGAGGCTGAGGCAGGAGAATTGCCTGAACCCAGGAGGCGGAGGTTGCAGTGAGCCGAGATCACGCCATTGCACTCCAGCCTGGGTAACAAGAGCAAAACTCTGTCTCAAAAAAAAAAAAAAAAAAAAAAAAGGAAGTCATGTTCATTTACCTTCCATTTCAGTATGTATCGTGCAGTGTTTTGGAGGCTGGAAAGTGAAACTTCGGAATCCTGAAGGTTTTTTCCACTTCAAGTTTGCAGTGCTTAATGCACAATATACAGTTTGCTGAATGAATAAACAGAAATAGGGAAATAAACTTACAAATATTTTAGGGAGAAGCTCACTTCTTCCCTTTCTCAGGAAAGCAAACAAGCACACACTGTTCCAATTTTAAAACCCCTTGACCAAAGCCTTTGAAACTATGAACTTTGCAACTGTCATAGTTTATGGATCTTGCTGTAGAGAAGCTCAATTTTCAGTGTTTGAACTGAAACCTTTCTTGTTAGGGAATGTATGAAAGAAGAATTGTAGGGGTGAAAAAAGCAAGCATAACCAAAGATCATCAGCAGTGAAGAATCTAGGCTGTGGCTGAGTGAACCAGAGGCCTCTAACATGGACTCAAGTTGATCTTCAGAACAGGACACTATGGTGCAGCATCTTCTTGTGCTCACACAAATCCTTAAACAGGAACATTGTAAAGCCTTGTACATTGTCTAATTTAAATAACATTCATTTTCTCAAGCTCTTTTTGTTACTATTATTCTAAAAGTGAGTATTTGTAGGGAGCACTTATGTTTTCCTAATGTCTGTATAACAAATTTCTATGCAAGTATATGAATAAATTATGCCCACAGCTCAGTTTTGTGTAATGTGCCATTTATAGCCATCATGTAGATGAACAATGACAAGCATAAGTAGGTATTGCTTATGTTCTATCCTTCTTCTTTTCTTTACTTGGTAATAGCACCAGGTGTATAGCGGAGTAAACCCTGTTCGAGGTTTAGTCCCCTTGGGTATCCTCTCAACTATCCACTGTTCTTTCAACTCATGAGAATGAATAACTGAGGACAGTTGTTCAGGACATGCTCCTAACACTTTGAGATCAATATCCTGAGAGCCACTTCCATGCATTCCCAGACAGGTCCTGGGCACCCCCATCAGGGCTGACCCTGGGCCACAACATGCCTCAGGGGTCAGCTCTCTAGGACAAGCCACTTATCAGAATATTATACCCTGAGGCTGAAGCCACAGCCATACTTGTCTCTGCCACAGAAGCACTTCTCTTCCACCTCCTTTCACCACGGTTGGCAGATTTGAAAGAAAATATGCTAAGAAGGGAAATTTACTTCAACAAGTTTGAATAAGAAGTTCCAAATCAGCCCTAAAAGGAAACTAGAGAAGCCACAATGGGGTGTCCCTATTGAAGTGCCCTCTGTCATAACAAAACCTCTCCCACCTATGGTTTCAAGGTAAACTCAAATAAATTTACCAGAGTGATCTGGCCATTCTATGTCTTCTTTTGTCTGGGTGACAAAGACAGGTTGTGAGGCTCTTATGCTAAAGACACTCTATACCTTTAGGAGCTACAGGGGCCAACTTGCCTGTTACCCATGACACGTGACTAGCATGGAATACGTCAAGATCAAAGCTAGGTTTAAAAGAAACTAGGAATTTCTAAGGAGGCTTCTTATAAACAACTTTGCAAGAGTATTTTGGTGGTCAGTAATCATAAGACAAGATTTCATACACAGGACTGTTTTCAGCCTTTCTCCTTATCTAACTTCCTTCCAAACAGCTTCACTCCTTAGTTCCATCTTCTTTTTGAATCTACACTGACAATCCCCAGACCATTAGGAGGGCTAATAGCTTCAAGGCTGTAGAGTTCCACTTTCCAAAACAATCAACAATTCAGATCCTGAAGGAATTTAAGGCCTAATAAATGAATATAGTAAATAATAGACTTTTAAAGAATGAAATATAAGTATAGTCTGCTTTCACAGCTCTTAATAAAACTAAAAGGTAGATGTAGTGGATCAGAGCAGACATGTGCAAAGTCACCTAAAAGAGACAATTGCTCCCAGGACTGACCTAGCCTTATTTAATATTAACCTCGTAGGTGTGAACGTATCTAAAATAAGCTTAAGTCCACCTGATGGGGTAGCAAGTCAACCACTGAGGCTCAGGGGAAGGAGGAAAACCTAGGAAGGGGGTCTTCAGTACTGGAAGTTTGTGGGGGTGGGACAGCCGCACGGGTCAAGGGGGAGCTCTATAGGGGAAATGGCACTGGGGTATTATGGTTTAGTAAATCGAACTATTTAAACCAAGCAACTTTTGTTTCTTGTCCAATCCTGTACTCACAAGCTGTTTGGCTTCCTCTGTCGACTTGTCTTACAAGGTAAAAAACGTGTCCGCACTGATGAGCTTCTGATCCTTGATAGCCACATTTCTCATTTTGGTTGATAATTCTAAGTTTTATGTATAAGCCTTTTAAATTTTTACTTAACAAACTTTATAGAGCACAAAATCACACACCCTCCACATGGTGCTCCAAAAAAAGTTAAGTTTCTGAGGCCCCAAAGGTCAATAGGGTGAAGGGTGTGCAGTTAGGGAAGGCCTCCATGAGGAAGTGAGGTTTAGGCAGAGATCCAGGGAATAGGCAGGAGGTGTAAGAAGGTGGAGTGTGGAGGGAGAGGTACCCTTGGCAAAGGGAACCTTGTGGATAAAGGCCTTGAGACAAGGAGATTGGTGCTTTCAAGGAGTGAGAAGATTGCTGTGGCTGGATTATGGTGAATGAAAGGGCACTGGAGTGAATTCAGCAAACCAACTGGGAGGCCATTGCAGTAGTACAGGAGAGAAGTGATGGTGACTTGGACTCCAGTGGTGATGGAGAGACATTCATGGATATGACAGACAGGAGGCAGAACTCGGTGATAAGTTGATTTGTAGGGTGAGGGAGAGGGAGGTGACAAGGACAACTTCATGATTTCTAGCTTGGGCCACAAGGTGAATGGCAGTGCCACATCATCAATGGAGCACTGAAGGGTCGCTTCTCCTCTCACGCTGCACACTCGTCCTCGCCAATCTTCATCCTTCTCATGCTTCGATCCAGACCTTATCTTCAACTCCCTGCAGGGACTGCTCCTAAAGCATTTCCCCAAACTCAACATATCCAGGACAAAAGTCATCTTTTTCAACTACTCTCTCCCTCTCATGTTGACTCATGGAGAAAGGTAGCACCCTCCACCCAACTGGAAAAGCCAGAAACAGGGTGCCATCCTTGTCCTCATTGTCTCACCTCCGGGAAACAGATACCCAAGCGTTGCAGGTCCCACCTCCTTGATAGCCCCCATTCATTGATTTATTGAATTACTGTTTACTACATAACAGGAACTGTAACCACAATAGTGAACCAGACAGCCATGGTCTCTTCCCTCACCAAAACTTTATGAGGTAAACTGACAAGTTAAGGAGTAATATAGTGTGGTGATGATGATGAGTAAGAGTCAGCCGGGTGACAAGATGAGGGAAGAGTATGTCAGTGACCTCCTCTTTCTTCTAAAAAACGAAGACAAGAATATATCATTAAGTACCAGGCATCCATACCAGTTAGAATGCCTTTGCCTGCTAGTAGCAAAATACCTGACAAAAAAAGTGGTTAAAACGACAGAAATTTTATTCCTAAAGGTAGGAAGTTCCAGGTTTGGTCCTCAATGATGTAACCAAGGGTGCAATTTCTTTCCATCATCTTCATTGTTCTCAGCATCCTCAGAAAGCTCCACTTTCATCCTAGAGCTTGTTGCCTCATAGTCACAACATGACTGCCCCGGTTACAAACATCACAACCACATCAAGAAGAAGGCGGACAAACAGAGTTTCAAGAGGGTCATTCTCTCCTGTTCCTCTTCTTTATCAGGGAGGGAAATCTTTCTTAGAGGCACCTCCAAAATACTTTCACTTGTGTCTTTTTGGCTGAACTGGGTTGTATGGCCATTCATGGCTGCCAAAAAGTCTGAGAAAGTATGCATCTGGTATGCAGCTTCTCTTGTAACAGGTGAACTCTGCCA